CATTTGAGTGCGTCGCGCGTTGATCGGTCAACGACGAGATGCCAATCTGTATCGGGGGCGCGAATCGGGGGTGGGGTGGGGACTAACAGGAACATGTATAGGTATCTCCCGCTGTGTGTTTGGTTGGGGGAGAGCGAGGCGGTGCACGCCTTGTTTGGGGCTGTATCGGCGTAAACGAGGTGATGAAAGTCGAGTCGGTCAGACGAGGCTCGAGATGGAGCGCAAGCGAGGAAGCAGCTGATCTGTGGAGGGAAAGAGATTCATCACGGGCCGGGAAGAGGGAAAGGGTGGTGATCCGAGATCTGGACGGAGCTTTGCTTGCTTGCTGCCAGGCTGCAGAGAGACGTTCCAGGAAGAGAACGGAGGATAGTGTGCGCTCCTGCAATAATTCAGTCTCTCTCAAAGCTTGCTCAAGCTCATGCTTGAAGGCTGATTCATTCGTCTCCGTTCAGGAGAAGTCCAAGTGCGCTTCCGCCATTTGCTTCGGGCTTGAGATCAGTTTTTCCGATCGAGGATGGCTTGTTTTGTCGCTTGGCTCGGGCGCTCGCCGATTTGTTCGTCGACGTCCCGTGAACATTGGTGCGTTGCTGAAGGGGAGCAGCTCCGGCTCTCCAGGAGAGGGCTCCAGCAGCACAGCTCGACTTGGTAGGTACCGCTTTATCGAAGACTGGAGATTGCTGTTTGCGAGGAGCCTGCTGAGCGTGGCGTGTGTCAATTGTGCTAGCATCCATTGAGAGCGAGCCGAGCAATTGAGGCAAGTGCTGTCCGTCAATGATTCCTTTCCCTTGCAATTGCTGCAATTGTTGCAGCTGCTGCAGCTGGTGCTGCTGGTGTTGTTGTTGTTGGGCAAGCCAGAGCGCAGATGCGCTGACAGGAGGGAGCAAGCCATTCGATGCGCCTGGACTCAGGGCCCATAGATTGGGACTACGATCCAGTGGACCGACGGGAGAGATGGGACTCTTGTGGGACGAAGTCATTGTTGGCATGCGCATACCAGCTGCTGCGAGCATGTTGAGGTAAGCAAAGTTGTGCGGCTGAACGAAGCTCATCTCTGGCGAACTGGGAGAGTGAATGGATACGAGGATGAGTTGGCGCCAGCGCTGGCTGTGGAGTTCACCGCGCACCACTTACTTGAACACGCTGGAGTGCTTGGAGGCTGGACTGAGACTAGGAGTGCTCAAAGCAGGGCTAAAGGGAGTGCTCAAGCTGAGAGGGCTTCCAAGACCATTCGTGAAGCCGTTGACGCCGCTCGAGAGCATGGGCAAAGTGGGGCTAAGGCCGTTGATGGAAGAGAGATGAGGCGATGTGGCGTTCGTGGCGGCGGCCGCCGCAGCAGCATCTGCGATCGAGGCGGACTGCTTCAGGCGCTTCTGAGCTTCACTGTCAGCGAAACGGACCTGAAGCCCGGATGTCGTGTCCGGTAGGACCTGTGGCGCGCAGCAGTGATTGGGCGCGTTGAGCATAGCTAAGGCGTCACCGACTTGCGCGGCGCTGCTACCAAGAGCTCACCTTGCCATTTAGACGGTCGATGCACTCCTGGGCGATCTCGCGGGTACGCAGTCGTACAAAGCCGACACCGCGAGATTCTCCATTATTGTCTGTGAGGATACGCAGGCTGACCACGACGTGTGGTGCAAAGAGCTGCTCTAGGCCAGAGGATGACATCGTGCGAGGCAGACTGGAGTAAGGGGTAGACATATCCACCGACTTCAGCGGCGGCCAAATATTTGAAGCCGAGATCCGCGGCCAGCTCACTTGCTAAGGTACACATTGGCGCTGCTGTTGTCCGCCATGCGGCGAAGCTTCGATGTGAAACTCTCCTGCGACTCGAACCGAGCTCCGCGTTAGTGGTACGGCACCTCCGACGAAGTAGCTGACAGGCATACGCACGCGAGCCCAAGAAGTCTGGTAGCCGCATTTGGTAAGCTCAGCCATGGCGAAGTGTGCTTCGGCACTCGTAGCATACATCAAGAATCCATATCTGTGGTGCAAGGTAGATGGTCAGAACATGCGGGCAATAGACTGCTAGGAGCGTACACGACTCGCCCTTTGCAAACTCCACTCTCGCTGTGAATCATGGCCTTGTGACTCAGCACAGTGCCGAAGCGAGCTCCAAGGACTAGAAGGTCGTCGTCCGTAGTTCTGAGCGTGCAATTCCGGAAGCGGTGAGCGGTATGCGTGCTGGTCACGAGACGCGCGGCAGTCAACTCACTGCGTGCCGAGACCGTTGATGTAGATGTTGGTAGTGGGATCGAGCGTCATTTGGTGATCATGAAGGCCTAGGCGAGCATCAACGATGCTGTTGAGTGCTGTAGCGAAGGACGCGAGGGGCGGGTCAGCCGTTGAGTATGGTCGCCTCCAAAATGGCAAACGCGCAGGTTGCTCACCAGGTGGAAGCTGCTGGTGCTCCTCAAAGGTGCTGAAGCCGAGGCCATAATTGACGTCTTGCTGAGGAGCAAAGTGATTGGCAGCGCTGGCTGATACCAAGGCGGTGGCGGCGTTGGTTCCGTACGAGCTGAGGATCATCTGGCGCACGGCATCTTGAAGCGAAGCGCCGGTAGGATCGAGAGCGCTAAGTTGTGGCAGAAACGGACCATTGCCAACTCTAATCGAAGGCGTACGAGTGCGCACCGACGAGGTCTGCTGAGGTGCCTCGGCAGGGGTGGCCGCTTTGTTCCCGCGGGCGGAGGGAAGGCTAACGTTTGGCTTGTGGTTGATGTCGACAGTGCCGAGGTCTTCCACCTTCACCTTGCCCCTGCTCTTCTCGCGATCATTGCCCTTGACATTGGTGACATCAGTCCAGGTCATGCTTGGCATTGGTGGACTCGCTTCGGGCTCGACAGTGGCGGCGCGTGCTTTGCGAGGGGCTTGAGTGGAGCCAGCGTTCCGTCCTTTGCTATGCTGGTGGCGTTCCTGGTCGTTGTTCTTGTGACGGCGCGAAGAGGATGCTGGCGAGCTGTCGCGCATCTCTACATTGGAGCTTCCGGTCGAGGCGCGAGGTGCGCGAGCTTTGGAAGACATCCTGCTATTCCACGAATCGGAAATGCCGGTATGAAGGTGCCGGTATAAAGGTGCCGGTGTGAAGGTGCGAGACGTGTGCAAGACGCGCTCAGCTCGGCTGCTTGCCTTGATACCGACCGCACGAGCTTGACCAGGTCTGGGACAAGGATCTGTTTGAAGCGCAGACTGTTGCTGGTGAAAGATGACGATACGTGAGTATAATGAACGCTGAATAGTGGATTGGTAGATGACAGCCTGATGGGCGAGGGGCTGGACGCTGGCACAGGGCCCGATGAGCTTCGCTGTGGGTGAGGGAGGTGATGAAAGAGCGATGACCCCAATGACTCGCCTTGATGTAGCTGGCGAGAGTCAGAGCAACTGGCTGATCACACCAAGCACGGCTGATAAGGTCGCTAAGAGATGCGGCGACCAAGAAAGGGGTTGGACAGGCGTTGGCGAACGTTGAAGCGGTTGAAACTGAGTGGATGCTAAGATTGGGGCAGCGAAGCACGGGTCTAGACGCACTGTCGAGCCCCGCCCTCGCCTACCCTCACGCTGACCACCAAGTAGGCCTTGAAGTCTGTGGCCAGTACCTGCAGGCGCTCTTGGTTCGTGATTTCTTCAAGTATTGGGTGCGAGGTCACTCCGTGCTGGCCGCTTCACGACACAGCCGCCGGGCCATGTGCCTAATGTACAAGTTCTGCCCGAACAGCGGCGACAGAGGTGCTGACCGGGTGAACTCGTGACCAGTGTTCTCGCGTTACGGACGAGAGTCGCGAGGCGCTTGCGACCCTATCACCAGTGGTCGTAAGCAAGGAGACACACCATCATCAGAGAGGAGACCACTCTTAGAAGCAGCCGTTGAAGGTTCAACAGTCGCGAGCGTTGGGCAGTGGAGTCGCTCGTTTCTGATGTCACCTCAACGTTCGACTTGCATGGCATACATGTGAGCCGATGCTGGGACGGAAGCGTCGAGTGTTGGCGAGCTCTTCGCGCGGCAACGGAGCCCCTCGTGTGCGCCTAAGGCTCGGCCTGTCTGCCGCATACTGGTCCCGCTGGCTGTTCATCGATCTTGAGCTCTGCCTGAGCGGCTTGCGAGCTTCTGGGACATTGTTCTGGGCACCGGCGGATGCTATCTCCTGACTCTTCGTGCGTGGAATGTGCTTTTGCGCCGACGTGCTGAGCAAGGCCATCCATCCATCGGATGGAGGTCAGCCGTTGAGCGCGCGCATGGCTCGCCCACGGCCGGGCCCAGCAGGGCGCATACACCTTGCAGCTTGATGGATCGAGCAGCAGCTGCGCGTGATGGGATGCCTGCAGCGCGTGATGATATGCGCGTGTTGGTTGACGCGCGCGGCGCATAGATCAACACCAGCACAGTGTGAGTCGTC